CCAGCTATTTGGGAGGCTGAGACAAGAGGATCACTTAAGCCCAAGAGTTTGAGGTTGCTGTAAGCTGTGATGCCATAGCACTCTACTGGGAGCAACAAAGTAAGACTCGGTCTCAAAAAAGAACAAAAGAATGTCTAAAACTGTTGAGACTACTCTAATATCTCACTTTCAATTCTCTACCATCGGCACACTTTCAAACTGTTCATTCTTTAATAATAAATTGGCTTTTTTTCAAATTGTTAATACTTTATAGCTTAATATAGAAACTTCTATTTTAGAAATTTTTATTCTTCTGCCTTAATTCTGTGGATAATTCGTTCTGCTTTACTTCATTATTGTAATGAATAATTGGCTAACTACCACGTAAACAGGGAAAGCATTCTAACTTTTTACTGCTTTAGGGAAACACAGCTTGAAATGTTTAGATATCTATTTTAGAGTGACAATAACTTTACTGACGTCTTTTAACTTTTGAGGATCTGACTGTTGTAGCTTTGGTGGGAAGTGTTGAAGTGTCTGTGAGGCCTGAGTATCCAGGTTGCTGTCTGCCGTCAGTGTGCTTGGAGCTTCGCCATAGCCCACCCGAGACGTGTTCAGAAATTTGTTTTCTTATCATCAGCATCTGAGTTGATGCAAAGAACTACACACATTAATACAGGAAGACGCAATTAGTGTGAGTCCATTGCTGTGCCGGCATTAGGTTTTCAACTCCCCATTTTTTTCCTGTTTTGCCAAAAGAAAATGTTCTAAGAACCTAAACTCTTGTTATTATTTAGGTATCTCCCCAGAAGATAATTTTTTATCCTTCTAAGATGAGATCACCATCCCCAGATAATTTGTATCCAGCCAGGCATTAGCTAATGGAGCTGAGGTAATGCTGAGTGTGACACTGAAGTGGCTCTGCAGGAACCAGAGCTCTGCTCCCAAGAGTGCAGCTTTGGTGCTTTCCTGTGGAAAAAGCAGGTGATGACATGTAGACAGCAGATGTGCACAACGCATGTGCAAGGATTTTATCTACCTTTATACAAATTTTTAGTATATCTAGATCCACTGATACCTGTAGCAGTGTATGCTGTTCAGATACTGACAGTGAAGGAAACTCAATGCATCACAGTATTAGTTCTTGAGAAATCCTTATAAAATACTAAGGCACAGTTTTAAATCCTTCTAAAAGAATTCATGTTTTCCTTTCAGCCAGGAACTATATTACTAAAACAATGTATCTTGTGTCTACTATCAGAAATGATTACCTTATAATTACTTGTATTGAGATTGATAGATCTCAAAATTTTCTTTTTTTCTTTTCTCTTTTTTTTAGAGACAGAGTCTCACTTTATTGCTGTGGCATCATAGCTCACAGCAACCTCCATCTCCTGGGCTTAGGTGATTCTCTTGCCTCAGCCTCCTGAGTACAGGCACCTACCACAAAGTCTGGCTATTTTTTTGTTGCAGTTTGGCCGGGGCTGGTTTGAACCCGCCACCTCGGTATATGGGGCTGGCGCCCTACTCACTGAGCCACCGGCACTGCCCAATCTGAAAGTTTTCTTAACTTTTAACTTTTTATTAACTTTTAATAATTGATTAGAAAAAAGTTGGTTTTTTACATACTCAGGAAATGACTTTTAAGTAAAATGACCCAGTATTTAAATGAAATCTTACATAGGCCTGAGCCAAGAAGCAAATATTATAAAACTCTGGGAAGCTGATTGCTGTTTAAAGTTTCTGCTACCAGTCACAGGAGAAAATAATTTCATCCCACAGCTTTACTGCTGGCAAGAGACAATAGGTTACTAAAAGCCAGTATTTCAGTCTAACAGTTACTGTACTGTTTGCAGAATTCTTCAAAAAGAAACCTTTTTGAAGGTTGGGGCTTAGTAAGTGTTATTTCCCAATTTTCTATTTTCTAGAGCAGTTTTTAGATTCAAAGCAACACTGAGAAGGTACAGAGGCATCCTCGTCCCCACCCTCACATATGCGCTGGCCTCTTCTGGTATTGACACCCCACACCAGAGTGGGAGATTTGGTACTGACCATGAACCTACGCTGGCATCTCACTGCCCAGACTCCACAGCTCACACTAGGGTTCACCCCTGCTGCTGTGCCTTCCATGGGTTTGAACAAATTTTCTTTTTTTTTTTTTGAGACAGAGCCTCAAGCTATCCCCCTGGGTAGAGTGCCGTGGCATCACAGCTCACAGCAACCTCCAACTCCTGGGCTCAAGCGAGTCTCCTGCCTCAGCCTCCCAAGTAGCTGGGACTACAGGCGCCCGCCACAACGCCCGGCTATTTTTTTGGTTGCAGCCATCATTGTTGTTTGGTGGGCCTGGGCTGGGGATTTGAACCCGCCACCTGTATGTGTATGTGTATGTGGCTGGCGCCTTAGCCACTTCAGCCACAGGCGCCGAGCCTGGACAAATTTTGAATGACATTTATCCACCATTATGGTATTACACAGAGCAGTGTTACTGCCTTAAATATCTTCTGGGCCCCCAGGTCCCTCTTAATCCCTGGCAACCACTGGCCTTTTATTGTCCTCCTAGTTTTGCCTTTTCCAGCTTGCCATATAGTGAGAACCACACAGGATGCAGCCTTTTCAGATTGGTTTCTTTCACTTACTATAATAATGCACTGAAGTTGTCTCCGTGTCTCTCTGTGGCTTGGCTATTCCTTTCTGTTAGCGCTGACTGACATCCCCTTGTCTGGTGCAGCAGTTTCTCCATTCACCTACTGAAGGACGGCCAGCTTGGTCGCTTCTCAGTTTTGACAGTTAAGAACAGACCTGCTCTAAAGATCTGTGTGCAGGGTTTAGAGTAGACACAAGTTTGCAGCTCCTTGGGGTAAATACCAAAGAGCATGTATGTACCATATGGCTGGATCACATGTAAGGTATGTTTAGTTTTGTAAGAAGCTGCCAAACTGTCTTCTGGGGTGGCTGTACCATTTTGCATTCCTGTCAGCAATGAAGGAGAGTGTCTGTTGCTCCACATCCTTGGTGTTGACAGGACTGGGGATGTTGGCCGTTTGACTAGGTAGCAGCTGCGTCTCACTCAGTCTGCATCTCCCTGGGGGCTGGGATGTGGGGCTTCTTTTCTTTTTTTTTTTTTTTGTGTTAAACTTTCTTTTTTTATTAAATCATAGCTGTGTACATTAATGCATTTTTGTGTGTGTGTTAAACTTTCTTGCACACACATATACACAAAACCAAACCAAGCTAGTTATGAACATTTTTGGTGTTTGCCACATCAACACACTTTTTCATGTTCAAAACTATCGCAAAAGGTAAGCATTTTTTCAAAGATGGGGACTGAGACTCTTGAGGGTATCTAAAACGACCAAACCATATAGTAAGAGACAAAGCCAGCACTGGAATCCAAATCTTACTTGAAAGCCCATGGCTTAAACTTATAAAAAAATTTCTTCCATGACAGATGTAATACTCGCTTATAAAAGAATATTTGGAAAAGTAGTAGAAAGGGAGAAAATGAACGCGAGATTCTGACTCCCAGTGGTGCTATGTCAACTTTTAGGTACACTCACTCTTTCCAATCTTCCTGCTGTGTATATATTTTAAGGCATGAACATACAGCATATCAAATGGATGTATCAATATTTTAAAAATTAGTATCTTTTAAAAGGAAAACATATATTAAAGAAAATTTGGAAAATACTGAAATATATAGAAGGAAATTAAAGTCACCTAGAATACCATTAGCCAAAAATAACCATAGTTAATGTTTTATATATTTCCTTCATCTTTTTATTAATTTTTAAATATAGGTTAGTTTATAATGTACAATATTTTTAAGTATAGTTAACAAAGATTTAAATAGATGATAACGGGGGGGGGGCTCTGATGACAGTAACTGCCATTCAAATTATTCAATAGATTTTAAAGAGGCAGAAAATAATCATTCACATTCTCTTGTTCATTCATAAGGCTATTAAATTCCTGTAAGTCTTAAAGCCTGTCCTAAATTTCCACTGAGGAGAAGCCTGACAGAAATGACCACCTTTTTTTTCATCCAACTGAGTCTAAATTATTTATATAATACAGATAAAACTTTTAATATCCCGTGAAAGCCCCTCCAAGAGAGGAAAGATAACAGGTATAGTCTGATTAAAAGTTTGTAGTATCTTACAGTGAAAAATAATATGCCTTAACCGTTTTGCATACTTACATTTACATAAAATAGGGTTAGTAACAAAATGAGGCATGATCGATCATGGCCCAAGGAAGTTCTAAATGGTGTAAAAGATCTTATATTATTTAAGTTACAAAGAATTTATTATCAAAACTAAAAACAAAACTTCAGTTGTACATAAAGGAATAAATTTTTCAATCAGCTACTAAGGGAAAGTGGCAATGCAAGTTTACACACGTTACTGCAGGCAAAGAGGAAGGGCGAAGGAGAACTCCAGTTGGAATGTCGATTATATCCGCGGCTTCCTTCTTGATTTAAACACTCATGACACACTGAATGAAGTCATCATATGGGAAATTCACAAAACCTTGCTAAGCAGTATCCCGTCTTCGAAAGCTGTCTGTAAGAGCCTGCAGTTTCACGCAGCAGGCAATGTAGTCATCAAAGGTGATCTTTCCATTGGTGCTGTATCGTTTTGCAATTGAATTCACAGCCTGGGGACTCAACCTAAATCCCATTGTTGTCAGGGCCTTCTGCAATTCTTGAGGCTCCACTGTTCCACTCCTATCACTGTCAAAACTGAGGAAGTGCTGTCTCCAGCCATTCAGTACAGACCAGAGTTCTTTAAATTCATTGAAGCCCATTGTGCCAGACATATCCCTATCCAGCATTGAAACCATAAGCCGACAAGTCTCCAGGTTAAAAGGTTTGTATCCTCCTGCAATGCCAGACTCTGTCAGACATCTCTGCAGTTCATCAGCATCGATTTGCCCATCCTGTCCGGCTACAGCAGCAAAGTAACCATACAGTGGATCCTGGGTTTGTCCGGGAAATGCCGGCCCTCCGGGAGCCCCTCCATACCCTCCTGGGTAGTACCCGCCGCCAGCGCCAGGGTGCCCAGGGTACGCCATGGTGTCGACTGCACGGCCGCCTCGGGGCTTCTTTTCATAAGGCTGATTTGCAATCTGGATCTTTGAGGAGGCCCGCTGTGTTTTCACTCCATTCTCTATAGTGTAGCCATAAAGTCTTGAAACAAAGATACTTTCTCCTGGGATGTAACTCAGTATCAACACACCGTTTTCACCTTCGTTTGCAGCCTTGTTAGCCACCCTTCGTGTTCTCTCAGTTATCCAAGTTAACCGCACCTTGTTCTCAGCCATGAGAAATTATCTTGTGTTGTGGTCTGTCCACTTGAATTGATATGTATAAGGACACATTGGGCTTATGATATTTATGGCTCAAGAAAGTTTGAGATTTCCCTGTACCCGATACATATTTATTGTACATATGATAGAAAAAGAGAACAGCAAGTAGGGAGCCTAGAACCTGGTGCAGAGCATGGGGTAGAGAAGGGGGGGCTGCTAATCTAACAGCAGGAAATACCCTACTTTTGTCATTCTTGAAACTGGGCTGAGAGTTGAAGTTGTCTGGAACAAACCTAGTTGATGCAGTCGGCCTTTGTTGATATTATTTTATAAAATAAGATTTGTTGGGGTTTTTGTTTGTTTGTTTTGAGTCAGAGTCTCAAGCTGTCACCCCAGGTAGAGTGCTGTGACATCACAGCTCACAGCAACCTCCAACTCCTGGGCTTAAGCGATTCTTTTGCCTCAGCCTCCCAAGTAGCTGGGACTACAGGCACCTGCCACAACACCTGGCTTTTTTTTTTTGGGTTGTAGTTGTCATTGTTGTTTGGTGGGCCCAGGCTGGATTCAAACTCGCCAGCTCTGGTGTATGTGGCAGGCAACTGGCGCCCTAGCTGCTTGAGCTACAGGCACCGAGCCATTGTTATTATTTTTCAACTTTAAAAACAATGCAAATAACTAATACAAGCCTTTGGAAGGAATTATGGAGAATCCTCAAAGAACTCAAACTAGACCTCCTGTTTGATCCTGCAATCCCATTACTGGGCATCTACCCAGAAGAAAAAAACAATCCTTTTATATCATAAGGACATTTGCACTAGACTGTTCATTGCACCTCAGTTTAAAATTGCCAAATTGTGGAAACAACCTAAATGCCTACCAATCCAGGAATGGATTAATAAGCTGTGGTATATGTATATTATGGAATACTATATAGCCACTAAAAAGGATGATGACTTTACATCTTTTGTGTTAATTTGGATGGAGTTGAAATACACTCTTCTTAGTAAAGTATCACAAGAATGGAGAAGCAAGAATCCAGTGTACTCAATTCTACTATGAGGACAATTGATGCTGGTACATGGTGTGGGGAAGAGAATGGGGATGCAGAGAGAGGGAAGAGGGGTGGAGTGACACACCTCTTGGGGATGGGACACTATTATTAGAGGGACTTTACCCAGCAAATGCAAGCAGTGTAACCTGGCTCTTTGAACCTGGTCAATGATTCCCCAACAATTTAAAAAAATGCAAATGGTTCAGTGCCTGTAGCTCAGTGGCTAGGGTGCCGGCCACATACACCAGGGCTGGCAGGTTTAAACCCTGCCTGGGTCTGCCAAACAACAATGATAACTACAACAACAACAAAAATAGCCAGGCATCATGGCAGGTGCCTGTAGTCCCAGCTACTCAGGAGGCTGAGGCAAGATATAGAAGAATATAATTTAAGGGATAAATAAATTACCAATAATCATCATTATATTTCCTGTGTCCTTGGTAAGTTCTTCAAAAAAAAATTATGTCTGTGTTAATAATTGTATGGACACACTATAACTATTTCTCAGATTCTTACTTTTTTAATGAATAATGCATATTCTTCCCTTTCCTTACTCCCTGCAGCCTCTGGGGTTATTTTCGTAGGATACATTCTTACTACAGGCTGTCCTTGAGTTACATCTGACTTACATACAACTCAAACTTACAAATGGAGATTATTACAGATAATAGGTAAATGTACCCGTTCCACTTTACATCAAATTCAATTTAAGAACAAATCTACAGAACCTATCCTGTTCATAATCTGCAGAACCTATCTTATTCATAATCTGGGGACAGTCTGCAGTGTTATTTTACCAGATCAGAATTGAAGGGTTTTATTTGGGAGTAGGGGACCTGTAGTCAAGAGGTCTTATCACGGCTTGGTGGCTATAGCTCAGTGGCTAAGGCACCAGCGACATATACTGGAGCTGATGGGTTCAAATCCAGCCTGCGCCTGCCAAACAACACTGACAACTCCAACCAAAAAATAGCTGGGCATTGTGGCAGGTGCCTGTAGTCCCAGCTACGCGGGAGGCTGAGGCAAGAGAATCTCCTACCCCAGGAGTTGGAGGTTGCTGTGAGCTGTGATGCCACAGCACTCTACCAAGGGCGAAAAATGAGACTGTCTCAAAAAAAAAAAAAAATGGTTAACATGGTAAGTTTTATATGTATTTCATCACAATTTTGATCTGGTGAAGGTATACAAACATAAAAATTGATGGAGATACATGCTTTACTCAATATATATAATTCATAGCTCAGTTAGAGAGCACAACAGACCAATAGATGATAGCTACATTGTAAGTGCTGTTGCAAAGGATCCTTTTCCCCAGATGTGTCTCAAAGAAATCTTTAGCAGTAGAGGTGAAAATGGGTTATTAACTTGGATAATCACTGGGATAATTAATATAATATAGTGATTTTATGACTGATTTTTGTATTAACTTCCATTTTCTTTATATTCTAGTTAATAAACGTATCCATGGAGAATACTGAAAACTCAGTGGATTCAAAATCTATTAAAAATTTGGAAACGTGAGTATTTAAATGGAATCCTCTGTAATCAGAGGAAGGTGGGTGTGTGACACATAGTAAGCTGTGAGGATGGGAAAGCAGAAGGACTATGGCTCTCAAGCCACGAAGACCAAGCAGGCTTCCAACCTCAGCCAGCTGTGTGGTTTTACATGGGTTAACTCAACCTCTTTGAACCTCATCTTTTAAATGGAAATAATACAACTTTCACAGAACCACAAGGAAGATGAAGGGAAAGACCCACAGTTAGAAACCTTGTCCCAGAACCAGAAGAATGTCACAAGAGAGGCCATCTCATGAGGCCAGGTGGTCTGTACCTTCCCAAATCACCATAGGGTTAGAGATTTTGTGTTTAGGGGGAGTGTTCTGACCTCCTATTAACAAGGTTTTGAGTTTTGTTTTGTTTTTAATTATAAAGCTCATACTACAGGCTCAGCGCCCACAGCTCAGTGCTTAGGACACCAGCCACATACACCAGGGTTGGTAGGTTCGAACCTGGCCTGGGCCAGCTAAACAACAATGACAACTGCAACAACAACAACAACAAATAGCCAGGCATTGTGGCAGGCACCTGTAGTCCCAGCTACTTGGGAGGCTGAGGCAAGAGGATCACTTAAGCCCAAGAGTTTAAGGTTGCTGTGAGCTGGGATACCACGGCACTCTACCAAGGGCAACATAATGAGACTCTATCTCAATAAAAATAAGGCCTGTATTACAGGATCCTGTTCATGAGTTTTAATATTACAATGCATTGGTAATTTTCAGTTTAGAGAAGCATTGACTAGTTACATGGAAAGGAAGAAGATAAAATCCAAACCCTCTTCATTTTATTCACATCACACTGTTTTTGTTCATTTGGGATCACTTGTGATACTTTTAATTCTAGGGACTCTATAATATTATGGACCACCCTGGGAATTCCAAACTAATTTCATTAGTAAACAATACTATTACAACAGCACTGTTAAAAAGTTACCAATAAAGATTTCACAGTGTTTAGCAAAGGAAATTTTCTCCGTATGACCAGGTTAGGTCACTCACCTTTCAAAGTTCGGATTTTCTCTGTAAAATGTGGGGCTCTTTACCTCTAGCTCTTTTCTGATCTTGATTCCATTAATATACTATTACACTTTTAATCTTCCTCCAGCAATATTTGGGAAATACTCTAAAGTTAAGTGCATGAGAACATGGACTTTAATTATCAGTGTCTGGCTGTATCTAGTCCTATTTTTTCCTGTTCTCTTGTTTCTTTGTTTTTTGAGACCAACTCTCACTTTGTCACCGTTTGTAGAGTAAAGTGGCAACCTCAAACTCTTGAGCTCAAGTGATCCTCCTGCCTCAGCCTCCCAAGTAGCTGGGACTACAGGCACCTACCCCAACACCCAGATAATTTTTCTGTTTTTAGTAGAGATGGGAATCTTACTCTTGCTCAAGCAGGTCTCAAACTCCTGAGCTCAAACGATCCACTGCCTCAGCCCCTAGAGCCACTCCTCATAAACAGGAGGTCAGAAAACCACCCCCAAACACAGAGTTTTACAGGCAGGAGCCACTGCACTCAGCCTTTTCCTAATCGTTGGTCTGGATCAGAGGTCAGGCTTGTGATCTGTTTCTGTCAAGTTTTATTGGAATATGGCCACACCCACTTATTTACATGTTGTTCTGGGCTGGTTTCACCAGCAAAATTTAGTAGCTACAACACTTAATATTTGGGCCTTTGCAAAAAAGTTTACTGATCCCTGGTCTAGAAAGTAGAGGTTTTAGAATAAGTGACTTTTCATATTTGCATTTTGTTCATTCCTGTCCTTTCAGGGTAATTTTTAAGATTTTACTCTTTTTTTTTT